CCTGGAAGTTGCATTGGATTTGAACATGATCATTCGTTTGATTGACGAGATTCGCCAGATGCACTCATTCCGCGTGAAAATTATGACTGTCATAAACATTGTAAATTACGACATACCTCGTCGTGTACTATTGGATGCTCATATTCTTCTCACTCAACAGGAGTGGACTTTCTATCATTTCCCACTCTAAACATGAAATGTTATTTTATTGGATTTTTGAAAAAATGACTTAGTTTTTTTATCTGCTGTTCGAACCGATCCAAATAAAAATAAATAAATTATTCGAGCAAAACAAAAGAGTCACTTCTCATTATGTTGTTCAAATTATTCTGTTCAATCTTTGTTTTTCTTATGATTTTTTTGTAATAAATTTTCTATAATACGAAAACCAGAACTTATGCAAAAAAAAGATTTCAATGTACTAGCAGAAAGCAAATATAAGCTGCTAAATACTAATTTACCAACTGTTTCAAGTGTAAGAATACGGTATGCATACAACCCATCGTCATATTATTACGATGATCCGAAGTCATTGACCTGAGACATTAGACAACGTTTAGCTTTACTCATAACAAATCAGCTTTAGCAAGTTGATTTTAATATAGATCGACTTTTTGAGACACAAATCTATAGAACATGTCCGAAGGAAGAAACTAAAGGTTGATAATGGAAGTTTAAAGACGAAACTCACTACAAAAAATGTTAGTCGAGATGTCGTTAGTGGAAACATTAAAAAATTTGTATTTGATTGGTTCTTTTTACCTACAATTAAATGATTAATCAATTGATTTTAGGTAAAAAAAAATGGTCTCGTGCTTTACCTGATGTTATTTTGTTTAGTTTAAAAATCACCATTTATACAATTCCATTAGTAATACATATGACAAATAATAAAAATAGTAATGCAATAAAAAAGCCATTTTTTTGCTTCAAGCTAAACTTTTACCGATACTGTATATAAATACAGAATTTTTTTTTTGTTTTATTTGAGATAATATAAGTAAAGAGCAAAATGGTTGATGATAATGATGATGATGTACCTTTATTGAATGATGATGATGATGAACAATTAATAACATCAGAAGATAGTCAACCAAATGTTGAAGCAGTTTTTGTCGTTACTTTTGATGTTAAAGATGGTAAAACTGATTAAAATTTTTTTCCTTTTTTTTTTCGTCTATTTTTATTAATACTTTAGGTAATACAATCGAATTTCAAATGCCAGAAAAAGAACAAATGTCATTAGATGGTTTAGAATATAAAGCAATACCAAGTGGATCGCATCATATCCATCAAGATTTTGTGTAAGATTTAGTTTTTCTTTTTATATTTAATAAATTCTTCTAAATGAAATTATCTATGAACAATGAATAACATTGACAACTGCCAACATTCATGGTAACCTTGGTTTCAATTGTAAAAGATAATGATTGTTACCTTGACATCTATTTGTCAAACATTTTGTATAAGTAAAAAACCAAAGTAACTATGAATGTTCATAGGTACTCATGAAGGATTATTTAAGAATTTCAAAATATCATATTAAAATTATGAGTAAGACTTGAATGAATTTCTAAAATTAGATTATATTGGAAATTTGCTCGAAAACACAAATCATAAGAACTACATTGAAAATATCAGATAAAGCTTATAATTCAATGAATTCATCTAGTATATGTCAAAAATAGCTCATTGGTCAATTCAAAATTATCTGTAGACCATCATTGCATAGATTTAATTTGTTTTTTATTTGAAAGATCGTATCGGACAGCTGGGTCTGGTATAGTCCTTTATTGTTGTATTATTATTTTTTATTCAAAGAAAAAGGATGACAAGTTCAATATCTCAAAAAACCCTCAAAAATTGATCATCTCTTTATCGAAGTGCTGTTTTTATATAACAATAATGAAAAAGCTTAATGTAACAAATCGGCTTTGTCAGCCATTCCAGCATTCCATGTTCTGTCAAACAGAAGAAAAACAATTGTCTTCAATGAAGCTACTTCGAGAATTCTGGAATACGCTATCAAAAAAACAACAAAAATTATTTGCTACTTTTTCTGAAAAAAAAGCATATTTCTAATGAGAAAGTGACAATAGTCATAAAAAATTTTAGCAAAAAACAAGGTGTCAAATAAAAAATCATATCGCTTATGAAAAATCAGGGATCGACCTATCTTATCATGTATTTATTTAAATTTCAATTTTTCTGACAAAATTTCATATTTTTTGTTAATAGACTAGATTTTAGCCCAAAGAGAATCATGAGAGTGGATGGATATGACTCATTATTCTATGTAGAATAAAAATTTCAAAATTGACATATTTTGATAATGTTAATATTTTTTGTTTAGATATTTTCGTCATGAAAGTAAATATGGATTGGCTTGTTTAGCTCGAGCAGATACTGTAAACAATGATGATGGATCAGCTTTGTCAGCAATTGATCAATCACAACGTGGTATGCGTATTAAATCTGTTGGTATTTTAACTTCATCTATTATACATATTCAATCATATCTTTATGTTTTACAAAATGAAGCTAGGTTATTAATTTGTATATTCTCTTAACAAAAAAAAAATTAACCTTTTAATCAATATTTAGAATTTATCTTCATCAATCATCAGCCAATTATGATTGTTTAAAACGACTTCTTGTACGTCAAGAACAACCAACATCAGTTCCTGCTTCTATTTACGTAAGAATTTGCTGGCATTAAAGCACTTTATTCTATTCTTATGATAAAATACTTATCAAATGTGTTTAATATATCGCACAAGAAGATAATCGACATAACATAGATTACAAAAGAAAGGTCATATCATTGATAGATATGATATTACGTTTAGTTAAAAGAACAAATTTATTTAGAAAAAAAATACAGGAAAGATTGAATTGATTTTACAGATATTTATCGTTCAATAGAAAGTCCTTCGAAAGAGAATCAATTTTAATTCTTTGTCATGATAAACTTATCAAATATTGACAAATTTGTCTATTCATAATAATTGACTAAATCAAATCGTAAGAAAGAAAAAAAAAAAAAGATGCAAATATCTTTTATATACATTGTTTTCTTTTCAACCAAACAAAATTCCTGCAAAATCATGACTTAATTCATCATACAAAAAAGATTTTTTTATTTATAGGACTCTTTATTCATTGAATTTATTCAAAAATTTGGTCCATCTATCTTTCCACTTTCAAGGTTAATACTTCTTGGTAAACGTATTTTGCTTTATTCACGTTCACCTATTGGACCTCTTTGTAATGCAGGTAAATACTTTTCTTTTTCTTTTCTTAAAAAAAAACTTAAATTCTTCTATAGTTTATTTTACTCATATTATAAATCAATCAGTAAATCCACTTTTCTTTATTACTCTTGCTGATTTACTAATGCTCAATAATGAACAATCTTATATTGGTTGTACAACAGAAAAAATTTTTAAAGAAAAAACACATATCTATGATGTATTTATTGATTGTGATAATCAAATTGTTTTTCATACAAATGATTCAATTTTACAGTCAATTATTAAAATAACACGCCATGATCATAATCGCTTAAAAAAGACCATGACGTAAGTTAAATCGTCTTTAAAAATTAATATAGATTATATTTTATTCAATGACATAATTTTAATATATTATTATTGTATTCAATCGGAATTTTTTCTTTTCTTTTAGTTTAAATTCTTTTATTAACATTGGTAATCGTTTATCTCGATTATTGAATCAATTATCACAATCAAATAATAATCAACAAATAACTAAAGAAAATTTTCAATCTATTGACCTTCATCAACGTTATGATCGTTTATTTCTTAATGAATATATTCGAATACATCATATTCCAAATGTGATTATAAGTAATCCAAGCTCAACATTGTTTCCTGGTTCACTTTGTTGTTGTTTTTGTCCAGAATCCAATTGATTTTTAATTTCAGTTTGACAAAAAAAAAAAAAATTTATATTTAATCTCAAATTAATTTTTCTTTTATTTTAATGATAATAATCGATTGATGAAAGGTGATTGATTCATGTAAGAATTAGATTTTTCTTTGATCAAATAATGAAAATTTTTCTATAAAAATATCATTCATATCTAATATGTATACAAATTAGATTCGATAATCTTATTTATTCTATTTCTTACTAACCTCCAATCGTCGCGTCGACAAAATCATTTGTTCTTTATGTCTCATTATCGTTCTTTTCCTATCATTAGTTGACAATATATTTCACGGTTCTTTACATTCTGTCTATGGACACAAAGAAATAAGTCAATCTCTCAGGAGCTTACGCATGTCATGAATACATGAAGGGGCGTGAGACGACAGACGTCCATATGCAACTAAAGAATAGTAAATGATAACTATTCTTTTCTTCTTTTTGTAGACAATCACTAGTAAATATGTACAAAACGTAGCCGTAATTTTTTGCTCTTCTTCTATTGAGTTTCATTGTTTTGTTGAGTATTGTAGACTAAGCAAAGAATCTCTTGTAGACTGTCATTGTATAAGCATTTTTCTCTCGACAGAATAAAAAAAGAGGAAGGAGAACAGATCATTTAATGACAATACCTTCAAGACTTTTTTGTTCTGCCTATGGCGTGTTATGATACTGTTGATTTCCATCTGATAATTGAGATAGACTGTTTATAGGTCTCCAAGAGCATTCCCGTTTTTATCCTTCATTGGTCTATTCATATATATTTGTTGACATTCATTGTTTTACATCTAACAAAAGGAAAAAAGAGTCCTTCCATAATCATAATAAATACAAAAGCTTTATTCTATAAACCATTTTTCTCTTGACATTTTGATAAAAAAAGAAAAAGAGAAGTACTTTATTTACTAGACAAGATATGACTGTAAAAAAAAATGTCCGACACTTATATTCACATGATCTAACCTAGAGTTTTTTTTTTCTATATTGTAGATGGTAAAATAAAAAAAGCATCAGTAACAAAAAATTTTTGTTCGAATATATCGAACATTATGTTGCCATCACAAGTAACAGGAATTTATACTGAAGATATAGATTCATCGTCATCAGCATTACAATGTCGAATACAATATCTTGATGATATTGATCCATTTTCAAGTGTCAATCTACCAGAACCAGCTCGACCTCCGTCCTTTACATTTTTGACATCAACTATTTTAAGTAACCAATTACCTAGTGTACACAAAGTTCTTAATGCACCACATCAAGTAAAAAACAGATTACTTCATACGACGAAATATTACAGAAATTTGTTCTTTTGTTTCTTTTTCGTTTTTAGATTTCTGATTGTACACTTGAATTATGTCGACAAGATGGAACTAAAACAGAATTTGGACCATATCTTGAATTAGATCAAACATTAGATGAACAACGTGAAGAAATTGAAACTTTTACGCAAGGGTTAGTTTGTCGTATATTTGATTAGAAAAAATTATGATAAGTTCTTTTTTCTTTTTCTTTTCAAAGATATAAATGGTCAATTGTTCTTCGTACACAACTTAATGTTCGAGTTCAAGCTTGTATAGGTAAAATATAAAAAGAAATCATTTTATTTTTTTAATAAAAATGCTTATTTTGTAGATAAATTATTGAATTCGGATGGACGTGAATTACGAAGATCATTATTTTCACTGAAACAAATTTTTCAAGTATTGAAATATAATCTTAAAAAAAAGAAAAAGAAATTGATCGATTCTTTTAATATTTTGTTTTTTTCCTTACTTTTTCAAGGATGATAAAGATCTTGTACATGAATTTGTTAATAATCAAGGTTTACAATGTTTAATTAAAATTGGTGGTGCAGCTGATCAAAATTATCAAAATTATATTTTACGAGGTAAAAAAAAAAGAATTTCTTTTTGTAAAATTATTAAGAAAACAATGATAAGTAATTTTATTTTATATTCAATAGCACTTGGTCAACTAATGTTATATGTTGATGGAATGAATGCTGTTATAAATCAAAATGAAGTTGTTCAATGGTTGTATTCATTAGTAGAATCAAGTGTATGAAAATAAAATTTTCTTTATTACCAAAGGACGGAGAGTCGTTAAGCAATAAAAATTAAAACCTCTCGGAATTGAGTTTATCATTTCCCAAATAGTCAATTCAGATGTCAGAAGTTGATTGCTGTTCGATTTAAACAGTTAGAATGCATTCCGACTGCGGGTGATTGACTCTAACTCGATATTACTTATGCCTTATAGATTCATATGATGTAATTTTTCTATGCACTTTTCTCTCGTCTTCAATTCTTTTAATTTAAGTTATTGATCAAATGAAAGATCTTTCTTTCTCCTATCGTATGGCGTGTAGGAGTATGACAAAATATTGTTCTTTTCCGTTTACTATTAAGTAACCTTGTTCGCTTGTATGTACAATATGAGAACACCCATGACAAACTTTCCTCATTATTATGTTTTTACAGCAGCTGTCTACTTTAAATTATATACCATTCGGTAGCCTTGTCAATGCTCTACAAAATGATACTATTGCATGGAATTTAATTCGTGGACTAAATACTTAAGTCAAACACGCGATGTTCATGATCACCAAAAGTTGCCCTTTTTGACTGATATTTCACGCATTTTGATTAGAATAATTAGATTTTCTATCAAGACAAATGATATATTTGGGATCAACATAAAAAAAACTAAGTCGATTTATACCTATCGTAAACTAAAGTTAATCAAAACATCAGTTTGACTGTTAAAAGTCAGTTAAAAACTTTTTTGAAATGTACAAAAATTCAAAATAACAAATGAATAAATAATAAAAGCAAATTTTTGATTGACTTTATTTTTCGACGTTACGTTCAAGAAAATTAAGGTTGAATTTTCGGACGAAAATAAAAGTTGCCGGAGGATTCTATCACACAAATTGATCGACTCAGTTTTTTTATGCTATATCTAAATATAGTATCAATATTGATAAAAAGTCTAAGCTATAAAGACAACTTTTGACTCTCATGGTCAAGAAGCGTTTGAGTAGAGTATTTTGCTCATAAACTACATTCGATAGAAAAAAGAAATAACTTTCATTTACTGCGTAATTGAAATGACAAAAGTTGAAGATGGAAAGAAAAATTTTCATAAAGATATTGCATTTCATGAACTTATAAAGAATAAGTAATATCAAGTGTTGAGTGAACTACTCGCATCCAGAATGAAATTTAACGGTCTAAATCGCACAGTGATCAACTTCTGATACCTGAATTGACTATTGGAGAAATAATAGATGCAATTTTCAGAAGGATTCGATGTCATTACTTAACGACTACCTTCTTATTGAAATTATATTTCTTTATTCTAGTTTCGACTTGTTGTAAAAACAAGTTTAAAACTTTTAATTGTATTTGCTGAATATACAGAATCAAATGCATTATTAATCATATCAGCTGTAACAGAAGTTGATAAATCAGCTAAACGCTTATTATGGGCAAATGCAATGAAAATATTAAATGAAATGGATAATTCATCAACAGAAGTTGTTTTATTAATAATTACATTATTTAATACAGTTTTATCAGCTATACCTGATCAAGATACATTTTATGATATAACCGATGCATTAGAAGAGCAAGGAATGCATCAGTGTACACAATTTTTTCTAAATAGAAAACCAGCTGAAGCCGATCTGATTGAACAATTTCATATCTATGATGTATGTTCGAAGATTCCTAGTCCTACAGTAACATAGATAGAACCAAATTATTTTGAATCTATATAAATTTTAAGAAATTTTCCAGAATTAATTTATATTGAGCTAAATGATCATAGCGATACGAAAATACTTTGTTCTATGTTATATACTGAAAGCTATTTAAAGCAAGTCGAATTGAACTTCAAGATTTCTACTAAATAGTTATATTTAAATTTCAAAACTTGATGCACAATCAGTTTCGAAAACATCTCAGAATTATTGAGTACTTTTTAATAGATATAGATCAAAGATTTAACACTTGAATAATCTTTAATACCTTTACAATGTATAACATTCTTTCATAAACATATTTTAAAAAATCGAATCTATTTATAAACTTATCCTTCAATTAATTCTATATGATAATCGATTAATTTTTTTTTTGAATTTTAGGCTGCTCTTCGACGTGAAGATGGCGAAGATGATGCAATAATTGCTCAATCAATAAGGTACGTATTTATCTCGATCTAGTTAAGCAAATAGATCCGATTGTATAAATGATAGTAAAATAAAAAAAAAGAAAAGCGTACTTTAAACAATAGATCTCCATCATTATCCAACATCTATGAAAATCTTATCTGGAGGTAATTTTTTAAAGGTTGCTTTTTTTGCGTCTTTTACATAACACCCCAAAACTCAACGATGATAAAAGAATTCCATTACACTTGTTGTAATCCAGCATGTCTATCTTTCCTAAACCTAATGTTCGCATGGTTATTGCATTGTATAGGCGTGCACCACGTACAAAATCTATATTTGATCGTATATCATCACGTCGTTATTCATCTGTTGATTCAAATTATTCATATGATAATCAACAAGAACCTAGAATAATTTCTAATAATAATCAAGATATTTGTCAAAATCATTTGGATTTAACCGATTCAACATTGCCAACATATGATGATGTGATCATATCATCGAATGAACAAGCTGATTCAACCGTATCATTCAATGTTGATATAGATGATGATGATGATAATGATGAGTATGCTTATTTTATTTTACATTGCCGCTTCTTTCTCTTTTTTTTCTCTTCCTTTTCCTTGTACAATGTCAGCAGGTTTTTGTTTTGCTTGGATGCTTCTTCTTCTGTTTCATCATTTATTGATTATTATCTTTCAGGCGAAAAACACGAGTTAAAAGTATGATTGATAATCGACAAAGTATTCGACGAAGTTCATCGCATACACATCAAACTCCGATTTCATCATTTCAAAAAAACGAACAAGAAATGTAAATAAATAAATTTTTTTGTCTTTTTATTGTTAAAATTTAAATTTTATACTGAAACAATATAATTTAGATCAAAACCATTACCAGATAGTACAGCTCTTCGTCGAATGCAAAATCGATGGGAAACAGAAATTTTACATCGTGAAGTACCTCGAACAACACGAACCGAACGTAGTCATGATCGTTGGGGGACATCAAATGATGAACAAAGTCCATTATTTGATACCAATAGATCAACGACGACTCAACAGAGTAAATAATTGTTGTTTGTAGCATAGTTCGCCTTCATTTCACAGTCCAAATTTCTTTTAATATTTGATTTGTTATGGTCATTGTTTAATGAGTGACTAGAATTTTGTGCGCCGAGAAATTTGATCTTAGTTTTTGTTCAAGATTAGTGAAAATATGTCTGAAAAAGAATGAAAAATTTGTTTAGACGGAATTTGTAGGTCGACATTTTCGATGAGGATGTTCGTTCATATTGGTCTGCTTGAAAATTTTTCAGATGAACCGAAAACTATAGGGTACCATCAGAATTTGAATATGAACTAGGAAATTTTTTTATTCAAGAGTAGCAAGGGACTTTGTGAAAGACCTGAAAAGTTATTTTTAATCATGAGCCGACAGGTTTTTGTTTACCCTGAATATTTCTTTTCGAACATGGTACATATTGTCACGGCCAATCGTTTTGTAGAACGGACACTTCTCTATCAAACGTGATACTGAACTAAACTGTAGCTTTTAATCAAGCAGTTTTTCAAGAGCGCCTTTTAACGTAAACCGCTTGTCGATTTTTCAAAAATGAGTACATAAGAAAAACGAAAATTGTGACAAACTTTTTGAGTCCATATTCGAACAGACTGTAACTATTAGTTATTCTGAAGTAGTATCTATCTAGTTTGTACATTTTGGGAATTTATTAATTGTCTTTAAACGTTAGAAAGCTGAAGAAGAAATTAACTTTTCCATGAGAAAAAGTGCAGACACTTTTTTCACATATGCTGTACATTGTGTGTTTCAAAAAATATTGTTCTACTGATTTTTGGCAGGTTTTACAAACAAAAAAACAACTCTATTCAAAATCATATATGCATTTTTCAGAATAGCTTCTATATTTTGACTTTTTTATTCCAAGGACAAAAATAAGAAAATATCGACTCTAAATAATGCCTAGTGCCTCTAAAATAAACTTCAGCTAGCTTTTAATTATCAGTACCAGATATAACACAGCATTCAGGAATGTTTACTTGACACATCATGATACACTTGCTCTGAAAATTTCAATTTTTTCTAATGAATCATTCAATAGAAACTCTGGAAAGGAGGTGAAGTTACCCTTAAAGAGGAATGTTTTCTTACGAAATATTTTATGAACTTTATTTCTTGCAGTAAAACCGTTAACATCCATTGATAGTCATACTGTTCCGTCCAGTTGTTTTACACGTTTGTCAGCTAATATTGAGCCTGTCTCACCTCCACCTTCTCATGCAAATGAAACACAAGTATTTACACGAGCTGTATTTACTCACCGAAGAAATTCAAATAGTAACAGTACAGTTGAAACATTAGCACGTCAAATAAATGTATCAACAATGAATGGAAATGATATATCATTAACTAATGGTCAACCAACTGTATTTGTCAAAGAACCTAAAGTGATACCATCATCAGAACTTGTTGGTGCAGTAACAAGAGCAAAAGATGGTCGGTAGTTATATTATACAAACAAAATAATAATAAATCTTTCAATTATAGGTTTACAAGCAGCAACGGCTAAAACACCTCAAATCTCTACAACATGTTTTGTTTTGCCTGGTCCATCGCCTGATACATTATTATCAAAACCTTTATCAGATAATGACCTCCAATGGGAATATGTTATTGGCAAAGTATCAGACCGTAAATTGCGTGTACAAGATCTTAATTTCGAAGAATTGGATGAACAAGATGATACAGGCATTATGAATATGGTTACTAATCGAGGAGAGCCACCTCCACCACCACCAATGATGAATGGAAATGGACCTCCTCCTCCTCCTCCTCCTCCTCCACCACCTCCACCAATGATAGGATGCCCACCGCCGCCACCACCACCACCTCCGCCACCGATGGGATGCCCTCCTCCACCTCCACTTCTACCACGAGGCATGATACCTTCATCATTCACAATGAGTAATGGTAGTGTAGGTGGAGAATCATTATTATCAAAACCATCCTCAATTAATAAATCAGTAAAAACTGTACGTTTACATTGGCGTGAGACAGCTCCAAATACAATGCTATCAGTATTCGGAGCGAATGATTCACTTTGGACATCATTGAATAAAATCAAATTAGATACCGATAAATTAGCACACTTATTCGAATTGAAACAAGCTGAAGTTAAAGTAAAGGTAATCACACTAAAAATAAAGATTATTGTATTTATATTTTTGAATGTGAAATTGATAACCTTAAGAAACATTTAAGAAACAAACAAAAAAAAATCTATTTAATATTCAGACATATGTAAATATTTCTTTCTTTCTTATCATATATAGGAAACAGTAAGTATATAGACACATAATATGTGTTTAATTGACAGCTTTGATTCTTTTGATTGTTTATTTTTTCGTGATTAATGCTTTCGAAATTCAATAATAATTTTCGAAATGTCATTAATTTATGTGTATAGAACACTGTCAAATCAATAAAACTCATTGGGTCACACTTTTCTCTTTTTATTGTTTGTAAATAACTAACACTGGGGGTAGTTCTTATATCAAATTTTGTTGTCTATTCTGTGTGAGTGTGCTTTATATATTCGCTTCTTGTTGTTTTTTTCTCTTCTTTTTGATAAAATTCTTTTTTTCTTCTTAAATAACAATATTGAATTATGAAAATGAATATTTTGTTTTATTCTATAGAAAAGTGGTGATGTAAAAAAAGAAATAACTGTACTCGATCCAAAACGTTCAAATGCAATTAATATTGGTCTAACAGTTTTACCAACAGCTCGATCAATCAAAGCAGCAATTTTGAAAATGGATAGTAGTGTTATTAATAAAGAAGGCATTGAGGTAATTGATTTATATAACCACAGTTTAAGTATACATATAGATCATTTTGAATTCTTACTAAATTTCTACTATTATTAAAAGATCCATACTATAACAATATTCAATATTTTTTTGCGTAAAGGGTCTACCACTTTATTTCATCATTTGAATTTTTTCATGTTATGATCAATTAAATGTTGTAGATGGTGCATATTAATAACTACAAACAGGGATGTTCTTCCACAATATTAAAAAAAACTTGCGTTTTTCTTCAGCGTTTTATTGTTGCTTTTCCTTATCAAATTCTAAAACACGCTCAAACTCTTACCTATCTGTGAATCTTGGCAACCTCAGGTTGTCACTATCTAGAAAAATTTCTCTGTATTATTGATAAATTTTGGTTTCATAATAGAAAATCATGTACAACATGATAAACGAGAAGAGAACAATAATTAGTATTGCAGTTAAATAATTGTATTAAAACAAAAAACAAACCTTTTTTTTAGATTAAAGTGTTTTTCTATAGCGAGTAAACCTATAGCTCTATGGATACACCAAAGTTCAACTCAAAAATAACTTTGAGTGAGATTTTGTCTCGCATTTCACTTAGAGTATATCGTTTCATAATAGACTTCATATTTAACGGATTTATTCTTTATCTCAAGTTATAATGAAACGTTGTCGAAATTAGCGTGTCGCTGTTTAGTAAATTTTCTTTAGCCTTATCTAGTGATAAAAATAATTGAGCAAAAGATAATAATTATTTCTAGAGGCACAGAAATAATATTGCAAAAAGAGTACGTTTTTTTTTTTGAGGAAAAGATATGTAGAATTACTCTACTCTGCACATTAGAGTACGGAGCTGCGAACCCGAGTTCAGGAAAACCGACTGGATTCACAAAAACATGAATCCGCAGTTTTCTAGTTAAGAACTTGAAAATTTCTCTCAGTCAAAATAACGAATACGAAGAAATCTTATCCTGACATTGTTATTTTGGACCACCCTATAAAATCTATATTCATATTTATTTAAAATTATTAGATTAAATATGTTTTACTATTTAGAAATTATTAACAATGCTTCCAACCGAAGAAGAAAAAAATCGTATAATAGAAGCTCAAATGGCTAATAGTGATATACCATTAGGCAATGCTGAATATTTTTTATCAACAATTGGAGCTGTTGTTGAATTAGAAGCTCGTTTAAAATTATGGTTATTTAAACTTGATTTTGATAATATTGAATTGGTTAGAAAAAAAAAAATTTTAATTAAATAATTATGAAAATTTTTTTATTTCCTATAGGAAATTGCTGAACCATTAATGGATTTAAAAAATGGAATGAAAAATTTGAAAGAGAATATAACATTTCGACGTATACTTGAAATTCTTCTTGCTGTTGGTAATTTTCTTAATGGAGCTGAAGTAAATCAAATATATTTTCATATTTTAAATTTATATTTACTAAAAAATTTTTCTCCTTGTTTTTTTTTTGTTAGTCAATCGGTTTTCAACTTGATTATCTTGCTAAAGTTCCTGAAGTTAAAGATACTATTCAAAAACATTCATTATTATTTCATGTGTGCAATATTGTCGTTGAAAAATATCCTGATACAAGTGATTTCTATTCTGAAATTGGTGAAATAACACGATGTTCAAAAGTAAAGATAATATCATTTTTTTTTTCTTGTTTCTTATGTTATTATAAAATTTATTTTAGATTGATTTTGATGAACTCGAACAAAAATTAAATAAAGTTGAAAATGATTGTCGAGCAGCATTTGAATATTTAAGAGCTATTAGTAAACATGAAACATTACAAATAAAAACAAAGTATGTATTTTATATATATATATATATATATCAATAGAATTAATATCTTACTGATAAATTATATTATTCATTTTGAATTTAAATATAAATTTTACTTGAGAAAAAAAAAAATGATATTTTCTAAGAATATGATTTATATCAAAGAACATTTTCAGAGTTGATGTTAAGATGCATGGTAAAATTTATTATGTCACGTATGTATTTTATTATGCTTTTTTTGTTATACAAACACCAAAAAAAGAAAAGACAAAAATGATTAAATTTTGCTTCACCTTTTAAATCTAGCTTCTTGCTCTGGTGTTCTTTTTCTTAACTTAACTTAGAATGTATTTTTTGAATTTTAGACTGGCAGAATTTTTGACTGACTGTGCCGAACGTGTTTGCTTATTGAGAGTTATACATAATCGTGTATTAAATCGTTTTCGAAGATTTCTTCTTTGGCTTGGTTACTCTCTTAGTGTAATACAAGAGACAAAAGTAACACAATTTTGTAAAATTCTTAGTGAATTTGCACTTGAATATCGAACAACACGTGAACGTATAACAACACAAAAACAAAAAAAACAAAATCGTGGTGAACGAAATAAAACAAGAGGCAAATTAATAACTGAGGTTTGAAATTTATTTTCTTTCGTCACCTGTTTATATTGTAAAATTTAATATCAATTTCTTTCTTTTTTTTATAGATTATTTCAGAAAAAGGCAATCCACTTAAAGATGTTATATTGAATGGTTTTCGAACAGATGATGAATCTAGTTCTAGTTATCAACCAGTAAAAGAAAAAACTTCTTCATCAACTATTTCACAAGATTATGATATTAAGCCATCATCTTCTATCTCAGATAAAAATTCAAAACAACAATTTAATCAAAGAAATGCTCAACCAAATATGTTAAGTGATCTAGCAGCTGTAGTAAGAAGTACATCAAAAGATGGTCAAGTTATGCCTGGCCATCGATTACGACAAAAAGCATCTAGTATGTTTAAATTTTAATAAAAAAAAACAAGAATACCCTAACAGATTTATGTCTCCGATCAAATACCGACATGAAAAAAATTGAGTCATTACATTTACTGTGTGAATTCGATTATGAATGACCAATATATATTTGCATTACAAAGAATGACCGGAGAGTATATGAGAGAAAACCATTGGTTAGCAACATGACTTTGCAAAATAAAAACATGTGTAGCTCGAAATAATGAACTTTCTTAGGGCTAAATTACTCTAAAAATCAGTATGAGCGACGTGGTACAAAAAAAAGGATATCAATTTCACATCATCTATTTTAGCTTTAAAAAAATTCCGAATTGTAGTAAAACTAAATATTACATGATGTAAACAACTTCTAAAGGCTAAAAAATTTTAATCAAAACTCTTTTCTGAGCATAGTAGGTTTTTGAAAAAAGAAAACGATATATTTTTCGTTAGTGACTTAACGAAGTACGAAAATATGCTCTTATAATCAATTGAGAAGTTCAAAACCAATCTCGGACGGTATAAATCCTTTTTCGAAATCGCTAGATGATGGCAATATGAAAATGTTCTTCTGCGAGTTCTCCAGGATCTCTTAACAGTTTTTAAAAAGAAGTGTGTAGAGTTAAATCTTTATGAAATAGAATTCATTCAAAAAGATAAGTCTTGTAGAGAATCAAAGTCACATGAAAGATGGGTATGTCCAGTTTTGTCGGAAATGGCCCATATACGTTCAAATTGGTTTCTGTCTGACAAGGGAAATCTCTCAACTGATAAGTCGCTTTTCATTCGAGACTATGTGCATTATGTAGATCTAAATGAGCTATATTTATTCTATAAAAAATTCCTAGCCTTATGTTACTACTGCGTCGACACTATATTTTATTATATTTTTTAATAAATGCTATAGTTTACCTTGGCAAAACTAATTTTCGAATTTCAACTTGAAGTTTTGTACAAAGATACATCATAACGAGTAATTTATTGTGAACGCTTATTCCGAAATAAAAACATTAAATCTGCTGATGTACATGAATGATGTAAATGACATGCTTGTACCATAGTGGTATCTTAAGGTAGGGACAAGGAAAAGATCTGAAATTTTCACAAGAAACTATTCTTGTTAAGAACTGTCTCTGAGGAAAGTTTCTGATAATCAGTCTTTCTGAGGAGAACCATGACATTCATTTAAAACTACCGTAAAATTGCAGCATTTTCACAACAATAAGTTAAGGATATAAAATACTTTCATGATATTCATAGCTCATTGCAGTCTACTCTTTATGCATAGTCTCGGCTCAAAAGTGATTCATCACAGTTGAGATGTTTCTTTCATAAACTTTCTTACATTTGTAATAAAGAAAAAACAAGAACAATTAATTTTTTTTTTTCATTATTTTAGCGAATAATTTACAAAAACCATCCGGATCAAATTCATCAACAGTGAATGCAATAGAATCAAATAAATCTAATGAAACTGAAGGATTCGATACAAGTGATGAATTACTTGATACTCTTGTTAAAAATGCTGCATTAACAACAACAAAAGATGTAATAAAACAACGTCGAATAGCTCGATATGCCCAACGTCAATCATGTATGTTCTTAAATAAATATGTCAATTTTTTATTTTTATTAATAATATCTTTATTTTAGTAAGACGAACCCTTCAAATAAATTTGAATGAAGAAGAACAAGCTCAAGTATTTGGTGCTGGAAAAAACTAATCTATTTTATTATATTATTCATGTCATCTATTGACCTATCCTGCACCGGTGTTTTCTCAAGTTGTTTTTTTTTCTATGTATACATCCATCCAATTGTGTGTGTGTGTGTGTTTTTGGTTTTAATAATATTCTGTTTTCTTTTTGTTTGTGCTTGTCTTTCATATATCTAAGAAAATGAGAAGAATGATTTGTCTAATATCCTATGATTGTACAAAAACCTTGACACGATCAGTTTCTGACAAAATAATCGTCACAATTATTCTGTTTTTATATGTTGTATTTTAAAAAAATTAAAATTAAACACAGAAAGCTTAAATGTGATTTTCTAGATATGTTTGAAATGCAGGATTTATGAATATTATCGGATGAATATTAATAAATATGGTAAATCATAGATGAATCTCCATCAAAAATGATAAATAAAGAAAAAACAAACTTTGATGATCAATGAATTTCATTTTTTGTTTTTTCTGATCGATATGCATTTAATGATACATTTGTTGAAGTGAACATAATGTGTATATGAACTTGTGTGTTATACGTTTCATTGTATTCATTTTTATGTATTATTATTATTTATTTTGTATTGGATTCTTTTTCTTTCAAGTAAACGAAAATGTTTTCTTCATACACGTTTCATTCTTCAGATAGGTGTAACAATGAATATTATCAAAAGTGCAAAAGAACTTTATCTATACAAGGTAGAGTTCTATTTTCTTCATAAAGACTTTGCTGCATGTAATGAGTTCCAACTATACTTGATAGTTTATTAAACGCTATGCATCATCACAAGCTTTAGCTACTGATTTAAAAAGTATTGTAGGAAATGACAATGTAGGAACCAGTACAGCTATTCGAGAACAACATAGCCATGATGAATCATATCATGCGTATGTTATATCATTTGTACGATATTTGTCATTTGATCATTGTATTTATAGAGGTCATCAGCCGGATGTTGTTGTTTTTGCACAAAGTACAGAACATGTTTCAAATATTGTTAAATATTGTGCATCTAAACGAATCCCTATTATACCATTTGGTACTGGTACTGGCGTAGAAGGTAAAACAAAATATAGCTCTAGATTACCTTCATTTTGTATTTTTTTCATATGTAGGTGGTGTTACTGCTTCTAAAGTTCGTAATGCCCATTTTTTTTTCAATAGAAAGAAAATTCTATTGATTTATTAGGGTGGTGTATGTCTTGATTTGAGTCGAATGAATAAAGTATTGTCGGTAAATGCTGAAGATTTCGATTGCACAGTTCAAGCTGGTGTTACTCGAAATGCTTTAAATTCTTATATTCGTGATACTGGTCTTCAGTTTCCAATAGATCCTGGTGCAGATGCATCTCTTGGTGGTATGTGTGCAACAAGTGCATCAGGAACAATGGCTGTTCGATATGTAAATAGAAAACAAAATACTTCAAAGATTAATTATTTTTCTATTATTATTATTATACTAGGGAACAATGCGTGAAAATGTGATGAACTTAGAAGTTGTTTTAGCTGATGGTAGTATTATCAAAACAGCAGGACTCAAAGGAAGAAGTCGAAAAACATCATCAGGTTATAATTTAACTAATTTATTTGTTGGTCAAGAAGGTACATTAGGTATTATTACTGAAGCAACACTCAAATTACATGCAACTCCTGAAGCAGTATTTATTCAATCTAGATATAAGCTAAAACCAATACATATGGTTTGTTTTTTTGTT